ACGGGTATGCGCTTACCGGTGGCTGTCACCAAATTAATGCGTTCGCGGTTGTATGCGGAGTCCCCAAGAAACGGATTTATAAGTTGGGAACTGACAACCGTGCGAGAGGCTCCAGTGTCTATGGTCAGTTTACACGGCTTTCCGTTGACCTCGCCCTTGATGATCAGGCTGTTTCCATCACGGGTTTGTGAGACCGAAATCCTTGGGGCTCTTTTAAGATCAGCCAGCACCCGCCAGTTTCCCTGCTGCTGCTGGGCGGTGCTGTCAGCCACACTACCCTCTCGATATCGATCACCTTCCCTTTCTACAGTTCGTTTAGGGCAGCTGGATCGAAGATGGCCCCTTTCCCCACAGCCGTAGCACCTAGGGCTGTAGCCCTTATTGCGGTCCTGAACTGTAGCTGCTGCAACCTCCCTGACGTGGTGGGAACGATGATCCTGCTGCACGGTTTCCACCTCCAGTGCATGGGCCAAGGCGTCCTTAAGCGTCTCGTGGTGCCCCAGCCTCACAGCAGCTCTGACTTCAAAGTCGCGGATGCCGTCGATGAATGTCTGCATCAGGTTCCCTACAATGAGCGCAGGTACAGACTGGTACGCTTTTCGAACCAGCTTCTCCACCTCAAGGGCCCACTGCTGCAGGTTTTCGTTACTGCGTTGCACGCGATCTTTGAGCTGTGCACGAAAGACGTGTTCCAGGTGAGCATCGCCATATCTCGCCTCCAATGCCTCAAGGAGCTGCTCGTAAGTCACTTCCTTACCGAGAGCTTCCAGAACAGTTAATGCCTGGTCGCGTAGGCCTAGGGTGAGAGCAGTCATGGCCTGACTTTTATTCCAGCCGTTCGCTTTCATGACAGCCTCGAATTGGATTTTGTAGGCCGATCAGGAAGAACTCCCGTCGAACGGCGGCACTTTGAATCCACGTAGCGAAGGTGTTGTAGCTACTACGGGAGCTGTAATTCCATCCCCAAGTTTGAGGTCGTCCAGCGTTTTCTTCACATCAGCCATCACGTTGTCAACCCGATTGTTCACTTGGTCGATTCGGGTTTCAGCTTCCGACAGGCGGTTGTCATGTTGAGCAACCCTATCCTTCACCTCCTTTATCTCTTTCCCGAAGGTAGCGTTAAGGTCCTTCCTGAGGAGCATCTGTTCTTCCATACCGCGCTGCAACTGCTCTTCCAACCGACGGGTCTGTTCCTCCTGTCGGCGGGCCTGTTCCTCCTGTCGGCGGGCCTGTTCCTCCTGTCGGCGGGCCTGTTCCTCCTGTCGGCGAGCCTGATCCTGCAGCATCATCATCAGAGCACCTAAGTCAGGTGCTACAGATGCAGGAGCTGCTGACGGGCCGGACTCCGTGGTTAGTAGCTGGCCCTCCGACGTTTGCGGCGTTGCATTACCAAATCGTCTCTGGTCCGTCTCCTGTTGGCGTTGACTTCGGGTACGGATACCCTCCGTGTCGTCTTTAGGTAAAATCGGCATATTTGATCCCACTTCTGACACCAATTGTTACGAGTTTGGGGTTCGAGACAATTAAAAACTGCCGATTGAATTACCAAAATTGACACTTTAATTACACAACACTAATTACAATCTAAAATCACACTAATAATAAAACACAGTTCGCCGTTATTTAGCTTCGAAGTATTCTCTTGTATCGCCAATTCAATACTACTCCGGTCGTGGTCTATACCGGCCTTATATAGGGTCTCAGATAGTTTCCAGAACCTTCTACTGTAGCGACATCTAGAATGTTCGAGTACATATCGGTCCCGAAATTTCTGGAAGGATCTCGACTCTCCTAGTTTTGCTACTCGACACTAGAGGGCGCTAGTGTAACTAGTGTTGCCATATACAAGACATTAATAGTGGCGCGCAACACTTACTTTTACTCGACACTAGAGGGCGCTAGTGTAACTAGTGTTGCCATGTACAAGACATTAATAGTGGCTCGTAACAACACCATGACCATAATACGGTTTGAAGGATATTCTTACAAAAATGTTGGTCCTTCGTGCCGGATTTGAACTAGCGATCTATGGATGGAGAACCAGTTTACGTGTTTTACATCTTGCGAATACGACGCGGTTATTACACGGATATACCCATATCTACCGGAAACAATAAGATTTAAACAAACATTTCCATAAGGCACGAAATGCTCTAACTATTGGCAAACTATAAACTATATAAATAAATATTTAATTGCAACGCAAGATTTTTTTTCAAAAAGTGTATTTCATTTAACTTTAATTATACAAGTAATCGTATAAAATATTTTACGGATTATAGTCTGCAAAACTGTTACACAGTTTGTCGGCAGACACTGCTCTTGTATACATTACATATTACCTACTAGCTGTTCCCCGCGACTTCACTCGCGTGGAATTATTTTGCGCGGAACCCTAAAATAAAAGTAGCCTATGTTACCCCTTATAACATCAACTAGCTGCCAGTGAAAGACCCATCGAAATCGCTTCACAGGTTTTTGCGTGATGCGTGTTCAGACAGACGTGTTTTTTTTTCCGACTTACTTAACATTTATCGTTATATTTTGGCCAATTTACACAATATTTTTATTAATTGTGGCTTATGTGTTATTCTGATGTATGAGCTATATAATTTTAAAGTTTCTTTAAAATCCATTTAGAAGTTATAGCATGAAAGAGTAACAAACATCCATACATCTTCACAAACTTTCACGTTTATAATATTAGAAGGATAATTGTAGTTGTTTAGGCCAAACAATTAATATTGTAAAAACTTGGAATCGATGGAATTTAAAGGTCACATCCGGCCCCCTCTCTCGGGCCGTTCTCTCGGCCGAGCGCTCAGTCGCTCGACGCGTGGGCGAAGCTAGTATTGTTTGCGACCGTTGGTAAGTTGGGCGCGGCCAGTGTCAAGAATTGTGCGCGTCCGCCGCAGTCTCGATTAGACGGAATTTACTATCGAATATTTGGGTCTCGTTAAGACCGCCTCCTTTGTGTTGTCTAATTTCGTTCGTATACGTGACAAGAAGCTTTCTTTGAGGTTTTGAGTGATTAATTTAACTTCTATTGCCATTAATTTGCATAGACGAGTTGTTTGTGTGTTATTTTGATATCGTAATAAGACATTGGCTTTGTCGGGGGAACGCTAAAAATTTGGGACTCGAGAGGAGATCGCGTTTCTGCTCGATTATAATTTTGTGCTAAGTGAACCTGGAACATTGAACTTTGACCGATCGTTCTTAAGTTGTGCAGCGTGTCACTTGTTTTAATTTCGATTAACGTTGACTTAGTTGAATTTGAAGTTCATTAAATGTACAATAAAGTTGATAAACTAATATAGTGAAAATAAAAGCAGAAGTTTTAAATTGGTGAACGCCCACTGGAGGGATCGCACATTTGGAGAAAAGCAGCGCCTGTGGATCTGCTGTCCGACTACATCGGTTAAGTCAGGTGCCATTTATACACACTTTCACACACTACTTACATACACCTCACTTACCACCTGACTGGTACCCTGTGGTCAACCCTACCTCCGGAACTCGGTAAGTTTTTGTTTGCTTAGCAGCCATTAATAATAATCCATAGGCCATTGGGCCCGAACCCTCGGCTGCTCGTCGAGGAGGCTACTATGGGCCCTAGCCCAGTCGACTTTTGTCGGGGCAGCTGAGGGCCGTAACAGTAGTACTTTTTAAAACTAGCGATCCGCCTCTTTCGGGTCCAAGTATAGCTAAGAACCATCTAAGATGGCCACATACGTACCCTATAAACTTGGTTCTCGCTCAATAAACAACAACCGACAGCAAGCCTGACGTCATGCTGATTCATGCTTGGATTCGGCCGTGGGAGCGAGGGCATTCTATTGCCAGTGCTCGCACCAAGCGGACGTTTCTGTTCGACTGAGTTTTAGTCAGTGGCATAACAGTTCATACTATAATATTTCTTAGAGGTATTAATATGTCTTGACAGTTTGTCCATGTTGCAGTAGATGTCGCTATTTTTAAATTTAGCCATGCTAGGCCAATTAAGAATCAAACAAATTAATGAATAGATAAAAATATAAACGAACCTTGCTAACTTACTATTTTGTTACAAAACAAATGTGTAATTATATTTTTAGTGTAATTTATTTATTTTACATTTATTCAAGTGAATTATTATGATTTAGCCGTTGCAAATTATTGTTTTCTCCGTTTATCTATGGCAAGATCCGAAGGGAGAGATCTATGGTCAATGGTCATTTCGGTCTGTCAATGTTACAAATGTCATTTAAATTTAATTTTATTATATACAATATTAAAAACTATCAGTAAAAGAAACTAAAACTAGCAGTTTGTGTGTGTATGTGTGTAAAACTAGTAACTTAATCTAACGTATTTTAATTTGTCTGTTTGTCATTCCATTTCCTTTCGTGATTTGTGAATGTGCTCTGTTTGTGTTTATAAGATTTTATGACAACTTTGCTTGATCCCCGGACTCCGAAGACTTCGCCTTTTTCGTTGGACTTACGCATAAAACTCAGGACCATGATTTGATTAACTATTTGTGCTCTGTAGACCTGGATTATGGTTTCTTTTGAGAAAGGTTGTTGTGTACTATTATAATAAAAGGAAGCATTATAAAAAAACATCCAACCGCTAAACAGTTGTTTTATTTGCCTAAACTATATTGTATACAAAGTAATTTCCAAAAGCCAAATCAATATTAAAATGATTTGACTTTTGGAAATTACTTTGAAAATAAAGAATAAATATTGTAATAAAAAGCATCCTACTGCGCTGGGCTGTAGGGACGTCGTATATCGATAGATGGCGCTAATGCTACGATTATAAGTGATGACTCTACCCCCTATATATAATGTACTCTGTGGTTTTAGTTACTTGACTGCCAAGATAAATCTAACCTAGATTATTGTTGTGATTGTTTTGCTCGAGGCTACCAACCATGACGGATCCCGGTGAAGATAGGGGATAAAGATATTGCATTCATAATAAAACTTTACTCTTTAATCGATGGTACGCACCTTCTGCGGCGGTTTGATGGAGAACTGCAGGTCGAGATGCAGCCAGTCCATGAGAATGGTGAGGAACTCGTGCGAGTCCTGCTGCTCGTTGCCGCGGAACGCGCGCTGGTGCTTGCCCACCTCGTTCTGCATACAGTTCAAATAGTACTATAGATTTATTCAATTCATTACACCTTCTTGTTATTTGGCGATAGGCGATGATGCACAAGCATGCTATCAAACGAGCGAGATTTGTAAATTGCTCCAGTTAACAGTTTTTCCACGACAACGTTCGTCGATACACTGTACAACGATCTAACTAAAATATAATTAATAGAATCAGGCGTTACATTGCGGAAATCCATTATATAAAAAGCTTTTAGAAAAAATTTTCTTAGAATTTTTTTTTTTAGATAAATTTATGATCGGATATTTGCGAAGTAAAAAAAATTTTTCTAAAAGCTTTTATAACTAAAATATTACAGGAGGTCCAACTGGAAACTTTCCGTTATCTCCCAATCTCGCTAGACCTTGACTGTCAGACAATAATTAATATAAATTAATCAGACTGATTTAACTTTTTTGTTTCGGAATTTGGGTAACTTTACAAATTAATTATTACTAAATAAAAAAATATAATTAGGAAAAAAATTTGATTTTGAAGTTCGAAATTGATAACTTTAATATTATGATCTTTTTTTTTTCCATAAAGTGTAGATGTTATCACTAAGATATTTAGCGTATCGTTAATAAAAAAATTATAAAAAAGTTATTACCAATCCAAAAAACAGCAGCCAGTTCAGCTTGAATAGCTGGTAAGTAAAGCCGCCAATAACTAATTTTAAAATGAAATGGCAATCACTGAATAATTATGTTTACCTTTGTACCCAAACACATACTAACAAACTCTTCAAATAATGTTTTTAAATGATTCACGGGTAACTTTACGAAGGAAAATAACAACTCTGCAGCGGTTAAAAACGGCATTAAAATTCATTGATAAAACTGCTTAAAAATAGCAAAAGGTAATCGACAATAAAGGCCGATACTCATTGTCGATATTTTATATAAAGAACCAATAACGATTTCTTTATGTTTACGCGAATACTACACATTTAATAAAAAGCTACAACGTAGATCACACTACGTAGATTGAACCAAACTATAATAATTTTAATCTGAAGGTAATTGTGGTTAACTATGACATTGGGACGTCGAACACCTCAGTCCCCCCGTAACCATTGGGTGATGGGAAGTGCTCGAAACGTCGGGAATATAAAATAAGTTAATATACAATGCCAATTTCATTGCTCCTAACTTATTTATACCTCCATATAACAACAGAAATGGAATAATAAATGTGCATTTTTCTTTGTATAAATATTAATCAAAAGGTGAACGGTCTACAACTTTTGTAAATTAATAAATGTCTGAGTGATGGTCGTTGCCACGCGTGACCACGACAGTTGGGTGCCGCCAATTACTTACATATACTGACGCTAAATTATCGATCCTTATCTGTGTATGTAAATTTATATTGGATGGGAAAACAAGTTTAAAGGTTAAAACAGTAATTAATAAACCCGACTGCGTAAAAAAGTTTACTCAAAAAAAAATTATAGTCACGCTGCAGCTATATTACTGGTATAGTTGTAGCACGAATGGGTCAGCTCGACCGGGGACCACGCTCTCCGCGTAAAATAGCAGCTTAACGCTACTGTGTTTCGTATGGTTAGTATGGAGAACCGGAGACCCTTCTTACCGGAAACGAGGCATTCCATCTTAGTCCTTACCAATGACAACGCATCTGCATTTTGATTCGTAATCGAGGATAGATGTATTGTCTATGGGCCTATGGAACTATTTACCATCAGGTAGACTGTGTGCTCGTTCATCACCCTTATCCTATAAAAAAAGCCTATGTCACTTCCACCACTAAGACGAATCTAACGACACCTCATATATTAAAATCCATTGAGCCGATCAGGATAATGAGCGTGCCAAAGAAATAGACATACTCGTATATGCATATACATATATGCAAAGAACAGACATACTTAGACATACATACACTCGAAAAATATTACCCTCCTTACGGGGCAGTCGGGTAACAAAGGGCACGATTAATTTTCGCATGGAACTTGGAAAATATGTACATAATTACGGGCAACGGCAATTTGATAGACTGTGCTTTATATCTTTTGGTAAAAATTTAATCTATAAAAATATTTTTTTTTATAGGATAGGATGACAAACAAGCACACAGTCCACCTGATGGTAAGTGGTTGCTGTGGCCCATAGACATCTACATTTATCCTCGTTTGCGAATCAAAATGCAGATGCATTGTCACCCGTGAGGGCTAAGATGGAATGCCTCTTTTCCAGTAAAACGGGTCTCCGGTTCTCTACACTCACCATACGAAACACAGCAGTGTTAAGCTGCTATTTGACGCTGGTATTCTGTAAGAGCGTGGTCCTTCCCCGGTCGAGCCGTCCCATTAGAGCTACAACTATACTACTAATATAGCTGCAGCATGGCTCTATCACGTAAGAAATTGAAAGCATATCATACGGTACCCGGATAATCTTCGAAACGGCTGGACCGATATTGATGGGACTTTCACTGGCAGATAGCTGATTTTATAAGGAGTAATTTAGGGTACTTTTATTTTAGAAAAAGAATTAGTGTTACGCGCAAAAAAAAAAAAAACATGAAATCGTAGTAAATACCACGCGGGCGAAGTCGCGGGGGCCGGCTAGTATTTCATAATTTTCTAGTTTATTTATTGTGTAATAAGTATTAATTAGTGACGAAGTGATACATCAATGTTTATAAAACATATCAATCACATATAAATGATGTAAAAATAACGTTGTTTAATCGATGGTTTAACATCGATTGAATAATATAATGTCGTTATATCGTTTACTGTTACAATGTTTCATCGATGTTTAATTTTATTAAAATTTTTATCATCTGTACTGTCGATAAAGAATGAAGGTCCTATCTAAGAATCTTGTTAAGTACTGGTTATTAAGTAAAGTTGTAGGCAACTTAACTATCTAAAACTTCGTACAGTTGCATGCAAAATGGAACATTATTAATTTTTTTTTTTGCCAGTTTATACAAAGTTAGGGGCTACCAGTTATAAATATTTTTTTTATTTTTTGTGTATGTTGAAACATTATTTTCTATTATTTGTACTTAGTATAATAATATACTTATACAGAATTATTAACAATAAAACATATAATGTGCAAAATAAATTGCAAAATAGATAAGTTTAAAGATTTTTGTATTTTTTTCTTCATAAAGTGTAGATATTCTTATCACTAAGGAACTGAGCCTGTATATGAAAATGAAAAATACTTTATTTGACAGTTAGCACCTTTACAAATAATTTAGCATATCGTTAATAAAACAATTAAAAATTATTATCTATCTAAAAAGCAGCAACAAATTCAACTTGAAATGCCGCCAAGTAATTTTAAAATAACGCGGCAATAATTTAATAACCGGCCAAGTGCGAGTCGGACTCACGCATGAAGGGTTCCGTACCATCGTAATACACGTTTTTCGTAACCTTTAATTTTTATTTCTATTATTTGTTGTTATAGCGGAAACAGGGCTAAACATTCTGTCAAAAATTCAACTGTCTACCTATTACGGATCAGGAGATACCATCCCGCTGTCAGACAGACGGACTTACCCTTCGGGTACGGAACCCTATAAATGATTATACCTTTATACTCAAACACATGCAAACAAATTCTTCAAATAAACTCTTTCCCTGATTCTCCATTTATAATACATTGTTTCATAATTTTAACAAATTAGGGTTTGTGTGAACTATCATCTCACCCGTAGATCTTTGATGGCGATGAAGCGATACTGGCCGGACCACAGCGCGCGCACTACAGCAGCCAACTCCTCAGCAATGGCGCCACGCGTACTGTTTGACCTGCCGCACACCGAATAGCACGTTAAAAAAAATTAAAAATCTACTTATGACTCCCGGGTTTTGACATAAAAAAAAACTGCAAAATTGTCCTTTATATCAATATATCAATATTTTTATAAAGCTACACGCTCTGACAAAATACTCGTGTAAACAGCGAGAGAGAGAGAGAGGGAGAGAACCAGATACCCTTTTTACTGGAAACAAGACAATTCCATCTTGGTTCTCAGGGGTGACAATACATCTTCTTTTTTTGTTTAAAAAACGTTACCCCCACACTAGGATTTTCTCCTTTTTTTTTATAGGATCGGGTGACAAACGAGCACACAGTCCACCTGATGGTAAGTGGTTACTGTGACCCATAGACATCTACATCTATCCTCAATAAAAACTCAAGATGCAGATGCGTTGTCACTCGTGAGGACTAAGATGGAATGCCTCTTTGCCAGTAAAAAGGGTCTCCGGTTCTCTACACTCACCATACGAAACACAGCAGCGTGAAGCTGCTATTTTACGCTGGTTTTCTGTGAGAGCGTGGTCCTTCCCCGGTTGAGCCGACCCATTCGTGCTACAACCATAATATAGCTGCAGCATGGCTCTACCACGTATATAATAGTCCAATGTATTGTGGAGGCAGTTTACAAACATAGATTGCACGTGGACAAACATCCAGACCCGGAACAATTATTTGTAGGCCATACAAATAACCCGCGGCCCCCAGCGCAACAAGTCATTGCTAAGCCACTGCGCGACGGAGCTGTCACATCACACATCTGCATTTTGATTCTTAACCGAGAATAGAAGTAGATGTTTATGGGCCACAGAATCCATTTACCATCAAGTGGGTTGTGTGGTCGTTTGTCACCCTTATTGTAATTTAAAATAAATAGTCAGTGTAGTCGACCAATCTCTAATATATGCATATTGGTATATACATACAGTTCAAGTTGATAAAAGTCTGATTAAAGAAGGTAATGTTTCAAATTAGATATTAATCGAACTTACCTATTCACATGTTCTAAGTACTGCTTATTGCAGAAGTAGGTGACGAGTATGGCCGTGTTGTTAAGGCACTGGATTATGGAGTTCATGTAGCACGTGTTCCCAAGGTTCTTCAGGCCGGTCAGGCCCCGGCCCTGCAATTTAGAGCTTGGTATTATATTACAGTCAATAACGACTGGGTCCAATCAAGATGAATTGGTAAACACTCTTACAAATTTAAACCTCTCTTGTCTCTCTTTTCTCTTCTCTCTAATTTAACATTACTGCGTATATACGTCCCACCGCTAGGCACAGACCTCCTCTTACTTCTGAGAGGAGTTTTCAAGGCACGGAAACATCCGCCGCGCTGCCCCAATGCGTGCTGGCGATGTTCACATGTCTTCGAAATATTTTTTTCTTATTTCTCTGACATGCAGGTTTCCTCATGATATTTTTCCTTCACCGCCGTGCACGTGGTAAATCAACACTTAAAATTGCAATTAACAATTTAATTGGTGCCGGCGGTGTAAGAATATCCACTATCACGTATCAACCAGTGGGTGTCGTAAGAGGCGACGGAGGGAAACAAATCAGGAGATGGGCAGCAGCATCTACGACTAAAAATAAAAAAAAACTGCAGTTGCCAACCCGCTTGCCAAGCGTGGCAACTATGGCAAATATCCCCTCTGTGAGGCAATATATGCTGAATAGCATTGGATTTTAATAGGCTGTAATGGTTTATGGTTTGGCATAATGCTGAAAATCTACTTATGTACTCACCCGTTTGAACAGCCAGACGATATGATTCTGCGAGTACTTGAGCCTGACCTTCACCTTCAACACCATGTTAGCTGTGTCCAGCGGGATGCATCTTTGCTGGTAGCGGAGAATTTTGATTGTTGCGATAACTTATTCCTTCGATATATTTTACTTGGGTTTATAATTCACTGATTATTTGGAGTAAGTAACTTTTTAGTTCCTACCTAAACGTATGACAGTGAGAGTTGGCTGTGGCAGAAGTATGGGAGTAAAATTACTGCTGAAGAAATGAGGTCATTATGATAGGGTGAGAAACTGTGGATTATGAGAAAAATTGTTTTTTGCAAGATGTTGTATCCAGAATTAAGAAAGAAATGCTTCGGTGGTTTGGACACGTAGAAAGAATAAATGAAAAAAGAGTAACAAAGCAAATTTATGTTTCAAAAATGGTTAGCAGAGTAATTCTAAACGTTTATCATTATCGACAATTAGGAGTATAATGGAGCTGGACCAAATTAAGAGCACACTTAACAGACGTTAAGAATCGAGAGAAGTGTATCAGGATCGTGTAAAATGGAAGTCCGTAGTCTCTACCTACCACTTTGATTGACTGGCGTAAGTCTATGTAATGATAAAAATAACTTCTCGAATCTCTAATGAATGTAATTCCTTACTTACATATTACGTATTGAACTTAAGTATTATTTGTAGTGTTTATAATTAAATTACTTCCTACAGTCTAACGCGTAATTGTACTAAGTTTTATTACGTTTAATTATTAGACGAATAACAACAATTTATTTAAAAGTTTTATTTTAGATAGGTTCACTACTTTATTTAAATGATATCACTATCTAAATTAATATGAAGAAATCGTCTAGATTTTAAGATGATTAAAAAAAATCACTTTACAACAAATCAGTTTTCTTGTATTTTGACAATGGAAACAGCAACACGAGAAGTACAATCAGGTATAACATGAACACGGTGGAGATCACTGTCGCGAGCATTTGTTTATATGTTCTCATAAGCGGTTTCGGTCACCGACGTCCAGACGTGACGACAGTCGTACCAGAACTAAGGTATAAGGCTATAAGGTAAGCTACACGTGTGTCGGTCCAACAAGGTGACTGCGAGAGGGAGGAGGGTGGCAATTAGGGTGACTACGCGCGTGTGGCAACGCAATACGCTTTTCCAGTTTTGTTTACTACGTTGATAAAAAACGCCGTGGTAGCACAAGGGCTTGGCGTTTATATTAAAGTTACGTAGTTAACGAGTCATCAGTTGTTATTGTTGTAAGCGAGGACGGAACTCTTCAACGAGAATTTCATGTTTTTTTTTAAACAGAAGGGAGGGCAAACGAGCATGCGGCTCACCTGATGGTAAGTGACTACCACCGCTCATGAACAAGTGCATGCAAGCAAGGAATTGCAGGTGCGTTGCCAGCCTTTTAAAAAGGATTAACAAGCCCGTTTCTTGAACGTCCCTTAGTCATATCGATCCGGAAAAATCACCGGTGTTAAACGATTCCACAAAGAAGTCGTGCGTGGAAGAAACCTTAAATGTGCCGACGCACCACTTTAAGAAACCCTCTCATAAATAAGAATGAAAATATATTCTGTATTTAGAAATCGGACAAATGGTCCTTATGTTTTCGAAAATGGTTTAAACGAATGAAATGTATATAATTCTAAGTGGTAGAGCCATGCTGCAGCTATATTAAATTTACATATAGTTGTAGCACGAACGGGTCGGCTCGACCAGGGAAGGACCACGCTCTCACAGAGTACCTGCGTAAAATAGCAGTTTAACACTGCTGTGTTTCGTATGGTGAGTGTAGAGAACCGGAGATCCTTTTTACTGGAAAAGAGGCATTCATCTTATTTTCATCCATCTTATTCCGCACCGCTGACAACGCATCTGCATTTTGATTCGCAAACGAGAATAGATGTAGATGTCTATGGGCCGCAGCAACCACTTACCATCAGGTGGACTGTGTGCTCGCTTGTCACCCTTATCCTATAAAAAAATGGTTTGAAAAGCAATAAGTATATTAGTTTACATATACGAGTACGTTATTTTATATATGACGTATGAAAGTGGATTTCATTTATTACACCTTGGTTGTAGCGACCATTTGCCTATAGCGACGTTAAATCTATGTCCCTTGAATTTAAAGCATATTTTAGTACAAAATTCATGTGGCTATAGCGACTTTGGATGTAACGCCGAGTTCGGGTGTAGCGACTGTTTTTAATGAATCATTTGTAATAAATTCCTAGAAATCCCATGCAGATATTGCGACCGGAGTCGGCCGCCAAAGACACAAAGATTTCTTTCTTTCACAAACATTTCTTATCTTTTGTTAACATCCATACAGACGGTCAGCAAGTGTGGAGACCTTTACCTTTTGTTCATAGATATCAACTAAGTAGGTAGGGAAGCGTGTACGTTTCGGAGTTAAATTTATGGTTCAGTTACAAAGTGATATTCTGAGTAGCTGTAATGTATTAAATTTGTTACATTTGCCTGTAACGACTTCCGGGTATAAAAAAGAGTGGTCCCTTCATCGTCGTTATACCTTAAATCCACTATACTTTCAAAGCACCCCATGTCACCAAAAATTTAAGTCGACCCACGACCCCATGATCATTTCTAGTTCACTAGACCAGCGAGTCAGACATGGGGAAGGGGGAGCGGGGGGTTTGTAATAATATGCGTTTACTAACTATTATCTTATATACAAAAATGGAAAGGTTTCAACCAGCTTAAATTTCATGGTCACCGTATATGGTGAAAACAACGGTTATATTATACATAACAAATATAGGAGGGACGGAACTGCGATATCGTTTGATTGATTGTTGGCCCTTTGACAACTGTACACTTGGGGTGTTTTCTTGATGTTTACACAGCCTTGTGCTTTCGACCTTTAGAACTTTTGTCGGTCCTGCGTGCACTAGCTTCAATGTACATACATTTGTTTAAATACTTTTAACTGAGGCCCACCTTAAAGACGTTTTTATATCGTATAGAATCGAAATTTTAATATCAAATCCTACGTCGACAGACTAAAGATATTTCATTTCAGTAAGCCAAGTACTTTCACCCCTTAAACCGTACAGTTTTAGGATGAAAGTACTAAAGTAAGGTTAAACTAAAGTACCGTTACCATTACGGCGTATTAAAGTCCACTGCTGAACATCTGCCCTTTTTTGCCTCTATTGTTCTTTTTCTAAATACAAAATATGTTTTCAGTATTGTTATTAAAAGACGTTAGAGCGAATTTGCTCTTTACATTGCATCCTTACCCGACGGCCCCAGAAGGATGGTAATGTTTTTCGAGAATATGTATTTATTTGTCTATTTATTTGGCACGCTCTGTAGCATAAACATAAACGGCTTGATGGATTTTAACGTAATATTGTAAAGTGTCGTTAGATTCGGGAGTGACACTTTTTTTTATAGAAGAAGGGGCAAACGAGCATGCGGCTCACCTGATGGTAAGTGACTACCGCCGCCCATGAACAACCGCAACACCAGGGGAATTGCAGATACGTTGCCGGCATTTTAGAAAGGTGTAAGCTCTTTTCTTGAAGGTCCCTAAGTCGTATCGGTCCGGAAAAATCGCCAGTGGTAAACAGTTCCACAGAGAAGTTGTACGAGGAAGAAAACTCCTAGTAAAACGCACAGTCGTCAGTCACAGTCAGGTTTTTTAAATTACTGCTTAAACCTTTAAGCTTGTTATTTTTTAAATTAATCTATATAAATTTAAGTGACGTGGCGGGTGTAAGAACATCCACTATCCCATTTCGTCCCGTGTGTCTTAAGAGGCGACAGCGGGAAATTAAAACAGATGCGCGTGCGGCAGCAACTTTCTAATGATAACAATTCAAAATAATAAAAAAAACTGCGGTTGCCAACCTGCCTGCAAACAGTGGCATCTAAGGCGAAATCCTCCCGATGAGGCAATCTATGAAAGATTCGTAAGTGCAGCAGTGGACTTTTATAGTATTCGTACGTTCAGCAGTGGACTTTTATAGTATTCGTACGTTCAATAGTAGACTTTTATAGTATTCGTACGTTCAGCAGTGGACTTTTATAGTATTCGTACGTTCAGCAGTGGACTTTTATAGTTTTCGTACGTTCAACAGTAGACTTTTATAGTATTCGTACGTTCATCAGTGGACTTTTTATAGTATTCGTACGTTCAGCAGTGGACTTTTATAGTATTCGTACGTTCAACAGTAGACTTTTATAGTATTCGTACGTTCAGCAGTGGACTTTTATAGTATTCGTACGTTCAGCAGTGGACTTTTATAGGCTGTACTGGATGGGGATGCGTCACGCTAGCACAGAATACCAGCGTAAAATAGGAGCATGGTGCTGCTGTATT